GGTGTTCTGGTGTTTGAAGAGGTTTTTCATGCCTTTTCAAGTGTGCTACCAAGAGAGGTGAGTGGCATTGCAATTTCATATGTTGTGTTCATTTATTGGTTAAGTTCAACTCCTACTGCTGTGATACCGATGGACGTATAGGAACATTAGCAGGCCCTTAAATTGACTTGGCGCATACTGTCATTTGTGCCTTTTTATCTCATTTAATGGCATTACCATCCAAAGCTCCGAACTCCCAATATTTGAATCGGAAATTATACTTTTGTAATAAATAAATTTAAAAAATGGACCAACCCAACTACAAATATAAGTTATACTTACAGCCATGAAATTTGCTAATGTACTGTCAATATCAGCAGAATGATTGTGCTGAGAAGTTGTAGTTGATCGAGAGACTGTGGCATCCTCTTCGTCACTATCTTCATAGGCTCCAAGCAAGGACAGCCCCTCTACAAGTGGATATAAACAAAATGTTCAGTCAAATTATTTTGCTTGAGTATAGTCTATCCACCTTTCTCATGAGGGATCTTATGGAGAAATGACAATGTAGGCACTTTCATGTACGACAATTCCTTTAAGAATTTTTGTATTTGTTATTGTTTTGTTTCACAGAGCAATTTATTTAAACATTAAGCACCCCTCCCCCCTTTTTTATAAATGATCATAAGCCCCATTGCATTGAAAAATGCCTTGCAAGGCTTGAGAACTTGTTGCGCTCTTTGCGGTTGGACGAACAAGCAGAAGAAGTTCAATCTGTGGCTACAAAAGCAATGTTCTGAACTGGCACCTCAGACGAGGAGGAGAGAATCTCCTGTGGTTGAGAGGAAAGAAATTTCATCTGTGCTGTTGGTTGCACATAGAGCACATTTGACAATAAAGTTGACTTGAGACATTGAAATATTTTCTTTTATAAGCTGCAGCAAGTAGCATTCCCACATTGTTGAAGTTTGTAAAAGTCATAGTAAGTGGACTTGCACAAAAGTTTCAATGTGAACAAAATGCTAGTTTTGCTAAACGAGAGGCCGTGCAACTAATTCAAGGAAAGGCTCATGGGAAGTACAAATAAGGTGGATATCAGGGGTTAGGCAACAGGACTCCAGCAATCCCCAGCAACCAATGATACATGAGTAGCCTGCAGACCTTGTGTAAAAAAATGCTGAGTGATGTGACATTGTAATTTAAAAAAAAAAAAAAGAACGTTGTAGACCTCATCATTTGTACACTTGCAGATGTTTGTAAAAAAAAAAAAAAAAAAGGGGCTACACATACCTATTCCTCCACTCTCGTCAGTGTCACTACGTAGACTTAAATGGCATTAAATGTTAATAACGCCATAATCAAAAGTAATTTGAGCAAATGTGTTATTTGAAACCTATTTCAAAGTGGTAGCCCTCTTCATTAACCAAAACACAAGAAGTAGCTCTGTTTCAAAAAGATTAGGGAAACCTGGCCTACAGTACACGGTAACAAAATAACGTACCGGTGGCTTTCACTGCGGGAGGCTTCGTGTTCAGTCTGTCTATCACAAATCGTCCTTCTCCTTCTTGCTCTTCTGCTACAAACGTCAGAAAAAAAGATCATCAAAGCCAGAAGAGAGGAAATGAACTCGTGGCCTACTTTAGCGAACCATTATGTTTTAGCTCAAACGAAAATTGGTTCATTACGATACACAAACAAATTCATTGCTAAACTCAAAAGTTTAGCCGTTACATTTTCATGCCGAGGAGCGGCTATGGCATTTGTGTCTGTAACGTAAAACAAAACATTGAGTATATAACACAACATACAACAGACGTCTAATATGTATACAAGTGAGACTCTGATCCACATAGCATTTAGCAAGCCCGCCGCTAGCAATTAGCAAGCATTAGCAAGCATGTTGAGGAATACCATCGGATCCTGACAGTCCCTCTTCCCTCTCCCCGGCATTCCCACCACGGAGCCCAGAAGGAGACAGTTGTAGAATTGTTCTCCGACCAACGGCTCCTCCCGTAGCGCGAGCCTTTTTCTTCATCGCGGATTATTTGGCCTGCGAAGCTGCGAGCCTCTCTTTTCCGAAGTCTTCGGGTTGCAGCTAGTAGCACAAAGAAAGGAAGTGGTATTCCGAACACACCCGGGTCCTGGGTCGCTTGGCGGTGTAACACAAGGAAATGTCCGTAGTGTACCAGCGTCGAAGATGCACACTAGCTTACTTAATAACAAGCTTACCGAGCTAGGCGGTGGAATTGTTTCGGCTTAATCATTGGAATCCCATTACCGCTTGCTTTTTGTAGGACTACAGGTTTTGCGGCGCACATTGGAAGTCGGTGTCCCAACGATTGCAGGAACCGTTTTGACATGTTCAAGTGAAAATTGGCAATTTCACGGTTGTCGCAGTGGAGCCGCCCATTAATGTATGAATTTCAAGAGCCGCCATCGGGGCAGTGGCCATCAGAGCCGCAGAGAGGAGGTGCTGCCCGATTCAGAACCGGGGGAAGCGCTACGGGGACTGGATCAAGCACGATGGGGGGTGCGATGGGACCGGTTCTGCACTGGCTAAACGATGTGGCAGCCGTGACTCTTCTGAAGGCCCGGAGGACTTTATTCCAAGCTGCTGTACTTTTCTGTGTTCTGGGTCTGCTGCTCTGGGTGTCCATTTTCCTGTATGGCAGTTTCTATTATTCCTACATGCCCACCGTGAGCTTCTCCGCACCTGTGCACTTCTACTACAGCTCTGACTGTGATGCGTCAGAATCAGAACTTTGCTCATTCCCAACGGCCAACATCTCCCTTTTGAAGAACAACAGGGACCAGGTGATGGCTTATGGCCAACCGTATCGAATATCTTTGGAGTTGGAGCTGCCAGAGTCTCCGGTGAATGAACATCTGGGCATGTTTATGGTCAAGATGTCATGCTACACCAAAGATGGGACGATGGTGTCATCTGTTCGACGTTCAACAATGCTACATTACCGCTCGACCCTTTTGCAGACACTCAGCACTTTCTTCTTTTCTCCTCTACTCTTGACTGGGATGGCTGAACAGAAGCAGCTAATAGAAGTCGAGCTCTTCTCTGCGTACAAGACCAACAGTTATCAACCAACTGTCGGTACAGTCATCGAGATCCAGTCTAAGCGTGTGCAGATCTACTCTTCCCAGCTCCGCATCCATGCATACTTCACCGGTGTTCGTTATGTTCTGTATAACTTCCCCCTGACATCTGCGGTGATCGGGGTGGCCACCAACTTTGCCTTCCTTGGCGTGATTGTGGTTTTCAGCTACCTGCAATTTGTATGGGGTGGGCTCTGGCCCCCGGATCAGGTACGTGTCAAAGTCATGATGGGGGACAGTACCCGCATGCAGCAGAGAAGAGAGGAGGTGAAGAAGCGCATGGAGAAAGAAAATTCCCAGAAGGAGCTGGATTCCCCAAGACTGATCGGATCTTTGAATGATGCATCTGATGACCAGGCTGATGACACAGTGGTTGAGCAGTCATCAAAGGCATCCGTTGTAGATGTAAATGCCACTGAACCCGGTGTTCCTAATTCTGAAAAAGATGTGTCTTCTGACTCTGTATTGCCTGAGGCGATAGACCAGAGTGAGACAACACTCCGACAGAGGTCTGGTGCATCAAAAAGCCTTTAGACTAAGGGCCATCCTGAAATTAAGAGTACATAGAGTGCATACAGTATACATTACTGAAATCATTCCACTGAATATAGTTGCAGACCTTAATACAGGCAAACACCCACTATTAGAGGTCAAGTATATGTAGATCAGTCAGAGCACATTATGCATATTGTTTTAACAAAAAAAAAAATGCTTTACTCCTACAACCTGTCTTCACTCTACAACAAATATCTGTAAAAATGTTACACCACTTGTTTTCTTTTTTTTTCTTTTTTTCTTTTATTAAAGCTAACACATGCACTTAAGAAAAAGTCATATTACAAATGTGGAACGTCTCCAAGACATGTTACTTTTTTCCACAAATGTCTTTACAAGCAATTACCGTAGAAAAATAGTACATTTGTTTTTAACAGTTTCTAAGGGGCTTCATGGATCTGTTGCGTGAATCATTCTTCTCTTGCACAAAGAGACATTTTGTCAGATTTACAATGTGCAGACACAATGTAATGGCTGAAAACAGTATTTATTGCTTCACAGGGAAAAAAAGTATGTTTTAGGTGGATGTTTTACGCAATGTACATTTTTTGGTGTCTCTTGATGTAACCCATCTGTATCCAGCATTAAGAGATGTTTTGAGCTCAAGTGTTTCTCAGCTCATTGGTTGGTATTGAAGGTAAAAGGGTCACCTGCTATGTGCTTAAGCGCAGGTTTGAGTTATGGTACCAAAAGATATTGACATACTTTGGTCTATTCTCTTATAACGTGAATGAAAAGAAATTTCTTGTGCACGGTCATTGATTGAATAAAAATGCAAACATTTAAAAAAAAAAAAAAGTACATTCAATGAAATGATGAACTAATTCCCTGTTAGATTGTTGTGGGGGAAAAAAATCAAATGGTTGAACACATGTAGGGAACATTTCATTCCCTTTTTCCACATAACTGGAATGAAAATGTGTTGTTTACAGAACATTTGATGATGTGATTGCAAACCACTTACAATAGGGTAGTAATGCGGTGACAATAAAGCCCATTAGCAGGCTTCACTCAAAGCGACATCCTCAATCTATCAGATGAATTATGCATTGTTCCAGATATGGAGTGCACTAATTGACTGAATTCACCATCCATCATTTGAATTATAACCTCCCCGCATTTAGCCTCAGTGTGGTGACGTCTCTGCAAGCATAACTTAGATGTCTAAGTTTTTGTCCCAGTGCTAAACCAATGTATAACTGTTGACTGTGTACACATGGTTTTGTTGTATTTATTAGACTGTTATGTTAACACACACTCTGGTGACACTTGGATAACCTGTAAACCTTCAGTCAAACTGTATAATCAATTAGTCACTGAACTTTATCTTAGACCTTGATTGGAAATACAACTATACAAATAAAAAAAACATCAAAATATACTACTGTATAATATATATACTGTATCCAAATAAAATAATACAAAATAAATCCGTGATTATGTCATCTTCAATAAATACATTTGATCACTTATATTTAATATAATTTCAAGGCTGACATTTATTTTAGTGAACTGTCCTTCAAGATTTGTATGACTAATCATCAATATATACTGTAGGTACATAACAGTGTAATACAGTTTACTTTTAATATACTAAATTCTCTCTTTTCCAGTTACATGACCTTTCTTTACTGATACGCCGATGGCAATATTGAGGTGAACTCATTTGAACTTATATACAGTGGTTACTAAATATGGTTCCTTGGCCTATGGTGAGCTACAATCATTGATTTATGAACACTTTTTCCTTTGCAACCAACATGTTACATGTTGCGTTCCCATATATGGCTCAACTATCAATGGTATGAAGGCGCTGCACACCACTGAGCTTCAAGTGATCCACTTGAGTGACGTCCTGCCCGTCCAGGCCTCGCCACAGCTGAATGTCACTTTGTCGCTTGACCTTAAATGTCGATCTCCTCCTCTGCCTCCATCTCTGTGACCTTGGCTTTTGAACCTTCATCTTCCTCCTCATCATCTGAGCAGTCTGCCCAACGCCCGACCCTTCTGACGCCTTCAGCCACCATTGGGGCATTAACACAGGGATTGTGGTCATAGATGATCAGTTTTAGCCCCTGCAAGTGTGAGAGATTGGGAAAGCGGTGGATTTTGTTTCGATCCACATCAACGACAGCGAGGAAGTGCATTTCCAACAACACTGGAGGGAACTCCGTTAGCTCGTTCCCAGCCAGCCAGATACTTCTCAGCTCTTCCAGCCTGGTAAGTTCATCGGGTAAACAGTGTATTTGGTTATAGCCAAGGTGCAGGGTCTTGAGATTGGAAAGCTCACAAACCACATTTGGGAAGACTGTAAAGCAATTTGTCTCCAGCCACAGGGTGTTAAGTTCCTTGAGTTCCTGGAGTTCCTTGGGGAGGTGGAAGAGTTTGTTGTTACCCAAGTAAAGGATGCTAAGCTGAGGTAGTCTGCAGACAGCTGCAGGCAGCTCTTCAAAGCAGTTAAAGTCAAGAGCCAAGAGCTGAAGTTTCCTCAGGTGGTGGAGTTCATCGGGCAAACTGCTGAGGTTATTGTCACTCAGGTAGAGTTTCACCAGCTCATCAAACACACAAACAGCAACAGGTAACTGGCGCAACTGATGGCTACTCAGGTCCAGAGTCCGATCAAGTGGCATCTCCTTCAGGTCCCCCACTAGGAAGCGTTGACACCGTTCCGATGGAATGAAGGCGATGACTCCTCGCATGGCATTTCCCATTTTTCCTGCTTGCTGGTCCGTCACAGGAATTTCAGGTAAGCAGTTGCCATCGTTAAATGTTTTTCATCTGAATCCACTTAAACTCCGCCACTGCAGCGTCAGAGTGCATGAAAATAGATAGAAAACAACAGTTGTTCGATTAGAAATGACCTATTTAATATTTTGGAGCTCTGTAAACAACAATCAGATGGTTACAATGCTAATTACAAAATTTCATGTGATAAAAGAATATTGTACGCAGAAGAGTAATATACAATAGCAGTGAGCACTAATCACAGAAATAGTACCCATTAAGATAAAAGTACCTACTGTCCAACAAATCTGATCCATGACTACCTTCATCGCCAAAAGTTAGCGACGTGTTTATCCAGTATAATCAGCTGAAAAGACATTGGATTCCCTGAGTGAATGTTCCCCAGTGCTTAACTCAGTGCCTCTGAGCTTTGCCCTGACTTTCAAGGTAACCACTGACAGCTCTCTTCTCTCTCCTCCCCATTTGTGCCAAATGACTCCCCCCTCTTCTGCCCTGAGATGGCAGAGGTGGGACAAAGGGAAAGACGGGGAGGGGCAGAGCATGCCATGGATATGCATGAGAAGTCTCTTCAGCTAAAGTCACAAGATATACTGTTTAGAAAAAGCTGAAAACAATTCATCATCTGGAAAAACAAGGTGGAGTGACAAGGACTTTGTTTGGATAGTTTCCTCTGACTTGAAAGAATTGACTCGTTTTTTTTTTTTTTGCAATAATGACAGAAGCACATAAAGATGATAACAAATAGCATAAAACTATGTCACAATAGGAACAGTGTTCAATCAATAGCATTGAGTGAGAATGTTTCATGTTCCTTGAATATTGAGGTGCAGTGGTGTGAGGTGTTGAGGTGTTCGCTGGTACAGATCTGTATTCTACATCAATAGTAGCTTCAAGATTTGAGATTCACACGCGTTTACTTACTTTCAATTTGAATTTGTTTCAGAAAGCTTTGTAGTAATTCCAGAAGTGTTGCGCTGGCATTCATTATCTTGCATACCTTTTCCAGAGATGTTTTTTTTTAACTGGATCCAACTGGATGGAATGTCATGTTCCTTATCAGAAGAGGCACTGGTCTGTGTTCAGCGGCAGATTTTTTTTTTTAAGCACGTCCTCTTCCCTCTTCATCCTCTTATGGACTGGGGCGTGCCGACATGAAACTAGCACATGTGGAATATCCGTCATTGTTGAAAATGCAGTTATTTTCTACTGCACCTTTCCAGTCAATGAGGTGTCAGTAATGTCATTATTTCCACAGTCAATAACCAGAAATATGACAGTATGTTGGGACAAGTTTGACAATGTGTTTTGTTGATTACCTTAGAGGTGTCAGATTACTTGATGTACCATACGGACTGTCTAATAAGAGTCACTGTCTTTAAGTTTGCCTTTGATAACGAAATAACAACAAATTGTTATTAACATGCAGAATGTGTTTATTTGCAAAGCCACATTTTTCCTTCTGGTTATTTCAGTATTCAATGTCAATGAATTGTGTAGGACAGTGTACCTCAGTTTATGGCCTGTCAAGGAAAGTAACTGTATCTACCGTATCTTCTCCGGTGGGCCACCAATGTGATGGAGCACTTGGAAGGCAGAAATAACAATTCCCTCTGGAACCATTTAAAACTACAATGTTTGTCATGGGAGCCGCTGGTGGTGTTGTGGTTTATGCACTTGTTTTCCTTCAGGCACTATGGGTTCTACTCCTGCTTAATGATGGTGTAGGTACATCCAACCACCATTTTCTGTACCGTTTTGTTAATTGCTTGTGTGTTTCAGGTACCTTGTTGATGTACAGTGATCCCTCGCTACTTCGCGGTTCGTTTATTGCGGGTTCAGTGCATTGCGGAGTTTTTCAAACATATAAAATATATATATATATATATTTTATTTTTTTACACATATACATGGAGTACAGTACTGTATATTTTGCTGAAGACATCCACCGTCACATCTGTCCATTCGTGCATGGCACAAGACGTTTATGGAAACCGGGAGAGATGACGGGAGGAGTGGACGAGCAAATTAAAAACCAAGCAACCAAACAAACAAACAAATAAAAAATCCTCATCCATCCACTCTTGAGACTGTGTGTGTTCATTGAGTTCACGGATGAGCTGGAGCCCATCCCAGGTAACTTTGGGCCTTGAAGCCAATTGAAAGGCTTCAGCGAACCTAACATGCTTGTTTTGTGAATGTAGGACGTAGCAGATGCAGTAGCCAGGAAGAAAACAGGCAAACATAGGGAGAACACGCAAACGCCACACATGAAAGCCACAGTTGAGATTCAAACACGAAACCTCAGAACTGTGAGGTGAGCGTGCCAAGCACTTGACCACAGTGCTGGCACGGCTCCTTATTTTGTAATCATTTTCACAAACGGTTGTTGCTTTGGTAATATGTTGAATTGCAAAGAGACTGAAAATTATTATTTTGTAGTTTAATGTATTTTCAGAAGTGAAACCTGAAGAAAACGGAGCAGAAAGCATATGGAGGGGAGCTACGCTGTTTACACTGCCAACCATCAGATAGTGGGGGTGTGAGAGAATTCTCATTGCCCAAAGTAAATGTTTAGTACGTTTGCTCTGTGGTGAGCATCATCCCATGTGAACTACATACCCGTTCAGGCTTGTGTACGGAAGTGGTCTGCAGGTTGTAAGGTCAAAGGGTAAAGGCTGTTCCTCTTTCGGTTGAGAACACAGCCATCTTGGATTTAACGAAGTCAAGTGAAATTGATGCGGTGAGGCTATTTTTAATTGTATATCGCCTTTCCAACAGGACGCGAAGCTCAGCTCGTTGAAATGAATGAGTGAAATTGGCCCCGTTGTTTTCCTGTGCCTTTTTCACGGCGAAACGGTTCCTTTAGCTATTAGCTTCATCTGATTGTCACTGTTGCTGCCTGGCAAACGGAGCGTAAATTGAGCCGAGAAAAGGGGCATCTGTCTCCAGGTATATGCAATCCAGCGTCCTTTTACTGCCGTTAGGAAGCCGAAACCGTGTGTTTTCGAAATACACGTAAAAGACGCACGGATATATGTTGTTATTAGCTTAATTGTTGCTTTGCGTAGCCGCATTAGCGAGCTAGGCTAACGCTAAATACAAGCACGGAGCCTGCTTACAGGCTACCTGCCTACACAGGCTAGTTAGTCAGGTCCTTAGCTAACTAGCATCTTAGCATCCTATCCAAGAACTGAAAATGTTACAAAATATATTTTAAGTTAAGTCACTAAACGTTAACGTAACACAACCCCTTTAATCTCTATTTTTTACTCATAATATCGTAATAATAGTTTAAATCTGTGCATCGTGGGAAATGTGTCGCTAATATCTGAACTGTTCACTCCAGGAGAGCGCTAGGCTCAATATCTATTACTGTGTTTAAAAACAGCAGTGCAGAAGTGCCTTTTGACGTCTAGATCGAAAGAGAGACACACTTAGTAGGTCGCGTGGCTCACATACATAAAAAAAAAACAAAAAAAAAACACTGCGCACGCCTTAAATACAACCCAGATTTAAACTAAAAATAGCAGAAAATGTGTTAACAAAAAAGTGTCGACATAGACAATTATTTACACTGTGTATAAACAGTTGACTATTGCACCAGTTATCCCCAGGATGAGTCTACACAATCCTCATTGAATTCACATTCAAATCCTATACCTGTACTCCAAAACTAGCCAAGGTGTTTTTAGGTCTGATGAGTCAAAGGATCTGTTGAGGCGATTGTTCTTCTTAGTTGTACTCTTTTGTCCAGTGACCCTTACCGTCAAATGGATTTACATCGTCTTTACTCTTTCTGCAGGTGACAAAAGGCATGTTTGGTTCGAGAAAGAAATTTCCAGAGTTCGTTGAGGTAGTGGACAACGACTTTACTGATGAAAGCATGTACTACAACCAGCCGTCGATGTTCCCACATCGGTCGGACAAAGACGTGAGCTCTCTTTAGTCCTAATGTGGTCACCTCTATCTATCGAAGGTCTTTTGTCCTCACAGAATCTTTCTCCCCAGATGCTGTCGTCACCTTCGCCGTCCTCATCCTCGGGGCAGCTGTCACAGCTTGGTGCAAGTTTGTATGGTCCACAAAGTGAGTGGAAACAGTGACAAACTAAGGATTATTTAGGATTGTTAAAAAAATGTAAATATATATTGTGTAGGACTTGTAAGTGTATTTTAACACAAACATGATCATTAGACAGGTATGAACAGTGTTATTTTTGTAAACATTTTGGATGCATAGACTCTTAATCGGATTGCTTGGCTGTATTTTATATTTGCTATTATTATTTTTCTTCTGCAGGTGCACTCGGCTTTTCGGTACGAGGCATGGGGAACAGTACGCCTCAGTTAAACCGAAATTTAACACAAAGCACCCAGCTACAAAGTCACATTACCCCCACAACAGGTGTCCCCACTATGTCCCTCCATACTCCTCCATCGCCGAGCAGGTGCCTTCCTCATGACATTTCAGTTCACCTGAAATTAAACACTGACCTGATGTGATTAAAGAAATAATATAGACTAATAAAGGCTTCCCTGCATCTTTCAACAGGGGGTCTTTACCGATGAACACGAGGAACATGCTGAACCACTCTCAGGTCGGGCAAGGCCTCGGCATGAGCGGCAGGACCAATAGTATGAGCAGCTCAGGCCTGGGCAGCCCCAATCGCAGCTCTCCAAGTATCATCTGTATGCCCAAACAGCAACCAGCACGCCAGGCCTTCACTGTAAACAGGTATGAGGCTTTAATTTGATGGACGCACCTGCTCTTGCTTAGTCTTGTTTATATTACATCTCTTTTCCACTTGACAGTCCTCTCTGCCACATTTTCTGGTGTATTATAAATAATTTTTTAACTATGTCTAATCTGTAATTTGCATTGTTTTCCACATCAATGCAGCATGTCCGGATTTGGAATGAACCGCAACCAAGCTTTTGGGATGAACAACTCATTATCAAGCAATATTTTCAATGGCACAGGTCAGCATGTTAAACCAAAGCGTCATTTTGAAATCGATTTTTTTTTTTCCCCACCCTCCAACGCCTTAGGTACATCTCAGTGAACTAGTATGTCATGGAAAACTTATTTTCATTTTAGGAGTTCAATTTTTTTTTAAAAGATATTGCATAGATTCACTGCGCACAGGGTGAGATGTGTGGTGATTTAATTTTTTTAAAACATTTTGAAGAAGAAAAAAGAATATTACATAAGATAAACTCCTAATTATTTTTAATGTAGATTTTAGGCAGGAATTCTGAGGTTTTTTTGAATCTGTAATATGTAAAATGTACTGCATGAATTTCACTAGTTGAATTGAGAGACTAAAATGAATGAACTTTTGTATGATATTCTCATTCATGTAGGTGCACCTATTTTGGGCAGAATAATAATTGGCAAAATTTGTAGATGCATGGTTTCAGTTTTCAATTCTACTGTATGAGTGACTATGTTAATTGGCAGTGTTGTATCAAATTCCTCCCATTAAAAACAAAGTTTGCGGAGAGAGAGAGAGAGAGAAAGAGAGAAGCACATATATCTATGCAGCATGTCCGGAATTGGAATGAACCGCAACCAAGCTTTTGTGGCCAAAATGTCCTCACATGCTCTAAATTAGCACTATCAAGACTTTTTTTCTGCACGAAATGTGACCACTTATTAGTGAATTGAGTGAATAACATATCTTTCCACTTGCTGCAGATGGGAGTGAAAACCTTGCGGGACTTGATCTGTCAGATTTCCCTGCATTAGCGGACAGGAGTAGGAGAGAAGGGACCGGCAATCCAACACCGGTGCTTAACCCGCTGGCTGGAAGAGCTCCCTATGGTAGTCCTGTAGACTGCAGAAAATGATTCTTTCAAACACTAAATAATAAGCACATAAACGATCTGTGTCATTTTGAAGTGTTGAAAAACATGATTATCAAATTATGCTGGTTTTATGACAATGGCCTTTTTGTTTAATTTTGTTTGTCGCGTTTCTGTCTAACAAGTTGGCATGGTGACAAAACCATCAACTGAACAGACACAGGATTTCTCAATCCATAATGAGGACTTCCCTGCGTTGCCTGGCCCAAATTACAAGGATCCGTCGTTGACCAGCGATGAAAATAAAACTGTAAGTGCGCCACACCTCAAGATACGAGGCAAACCTTTGTGATCTTATTCCATTTTTTTTTCTGTGCTTGTGATTTGTTTAGAACTTGAATTCAACAAGCAAGAGCACATCCAATACAGATGGGCCCAAGTTCCCAGGGGACAAGACGGCCTCGGCGCAGAACAACAACCAGAAGAAAGGGATCCAGGTGTTGCCCGACGGTGAGCACTTTCGTTGTATTGACAGTTCTATGGAGAGATAACACTTAAGGTAGACAAGCTCATTGTGTAAAAGGTTAGAAATTATGTTGCCTGAATGGACGGGTACCTTTCACATTGAAATCGGTTCAGTTCTGATTCCCGGAACCTGGGATTCAATACCGGTACTCAACTTTTGTGTGGGTATTTGTGGTAATAAATGTCAATTTATTCAACAGTAAAATCGAAAAAAGTTTTCAAATTAAAATGCGTTTTTCAAAATGTAAACTTTTACAAATGACAAAACATCGTTTATTTTTAAAAATGAGCCAAAGAGGATGGAGTTCTAATAAAGGGATAACATTTTACAATAAAGTATTTACGATAATTTTTTTAAGCACGCAAGGCCTGCTGTAAGTCAGGCGATCAGATCGAACCCAGCTTGGATCAAAACATTGTTTTAAAAAAAAAAAAAAAAAAAACAGTTGGAAGAGGAAGTGAACCAGAACAAACTCTATTTGGGATCAAATTAATCATTTGAATGTACCCGACAGTGTATGTAATGATGGCTACATTTTGGCCACAAGCTTTTGCTATTTCACTTATAAATACAGTTAAGTATTGTTCTAAAATCCAATTTATATACTGTATATTGTAACAATGGGGAAGCCAGGCACCTCCCTGCATGATCTGCTTTGGTGGGGGAAGACAGATCAGTTGATGCCGGCACCAGGTGATGCGGCCAGGCTCCTGGCGCGGATGGCTGAAAGAGAGGTGCCGGTGGCGTCCTCCCTTTCAGCCCTGCACCAATTTTGGTGACATGGGCACATTGTCAGTCACCACCCGGCAGCAGCACCAAGACGTCTACACCCCACCACGCTCAACCAAAGTATGCTAGGAAGCGTGAGGCTTCATAATTGCTCAATTTGCTTGAGTTTCGCTCGCTTCCAAACCTGGAAATGTATTTTTCGCGTGTGTGAAATCCTGATCACTTCCTCACAGTCACAACTTAGAAAAAAAGGGCTTCAGAAACCAAAACCTGTTACCATTTGATTTCATGTGAATCAGTGTTCGGTACTACCAACCCCAACTGGTGCCTACCCCAAAAAGTACTGTCTTTGATACCCATCCGTAGTTGCTGGGCTAAGATAATAAACATTGGCAAGAAGAGTTTGCTCTAAACCCTTGTCCTGTCTTGTGACTGCAGGCCGGGTGACGAACATTCCCTCAGGCATGGTGACTGACCAATTTGGTATGATTGGCCTTTTGACGTTCATCCGGGCAGCAGAAACGGATCCTGGGATGGTCCATCTGGCACTCGGAAGCGACCTCACAACACTGGGTCTCAATTTGAATTCACCAGAGTACGATTGCAACCGCTTCCATGAACAATACTCTTAAAATGGACCGTATCCGAAAAATATGACTGACCCTGCTTCCTCTCTTGACAGAAACCTTTACCCCAAGTTTGCATCACCCTGGGCCTCAGCACCCTGTCGACCTCAAGATATTGGTAAGACAGCAACCTGGATACATGTGGCTTCTCTTATCATACTTATTTGACCTTTGCTGTTTTGTTAGACTTCCATGTTCCATCGGAGTACTTAACCAATATCCACATAAGGGACAAGGTAAATAAAGTACAGTGGAACCTCTAAGATTGATTGCCATCTGTTTTGAGATGCCAGTCGGCCTCCATTTTTTCTCCCCTTTATTTTTACACAATTGTACCCAGAACAAGTACAACACACGTGATGCTCACTCAAGCCCCATGAGATTCGCCAAATTCTTGCACACATAAGATTTATGCATTTTAAGAGGCATATTTGATTGGAAATGTATTTCAAATTCCAAATTTTTCGACTTGAGAGGTTTCACTGTATATGGCTGCGGTCTTCAAGATGTGTTCAAGCTGTACATTTTGGTCCTGTGCTCATTTGTTGTGCCCCTGCTGCCTTGCCTCCAGCTGGCTGCCATTAAACTGTCTCGATACGGTGAAGACTTGTTGTTCTACTTGTACTACATGAATGGTGGGGACTTGCTACAACTTCTGGCAGCAGTAGAACTGTGAGTAGTTAACGATGAATGATTCAACCTTCTGCTGTCCAGGGTTTTTAATCATTCTCTTTTTTTAACTCGTCTGCCTAGCTTTAACCGGGACTGGCGGTACCACAAAGAGGAGCGACTTTGGATCACACGAGCACCTGGCATGGAGCCGACATTGAAGACCAATGCCTACGAGAGGGGCACCTACTACTTTTTTGATTGTCTTAACTGGAGAAAAGTGGCCAAGGTAAATCCTCTGCTGCACAGTACTAATCGGTCTCACAAAATAGCAACAATGCTCAATTTTAGTGTCCACTATTGTCTGGAAATCTAAGGAATTCCATCTGGAGTATGACAAGCTGGAAGAGAGGCCTCACGTGCCAACAACATTCAACTACAACCCAGCCCAGCAGGCCTTCTAAGGCCGACCTGTCCACAAGGCTACAGCTGTTCCTGCACATAATGCTGTTGTCCCGGGAAGGCGCTGTGGTTCTCACAGCCTGGTTTTTATTCCTTGAGGATTTGTCTGTTTGACTGCAGGGGAGGCATGTCTGACATCAGAACTACCCTCCTGTTCCAAAATTTCATGTTGCCCAGAACACCAACATTTTTGTTTTTATTCTATTTGTTACACCCTGATTTTTTGTTTTTTCAGTCTTGTTTTGAGCAGGGTCTGTGTTATGTTTACGTCTGAGTCTGAAGCCTGAATTCTCCCAGGAAGAAGGACTGACCCTCGTTTGTAACACCAGAAAAAGTGAGGGGGAAGGCAAAATAAAATCCTCAAACTCAAGTGAAAGGGTGAAAGAAATGCAATGTTTATTGTTGCACTATATTTAGTAATAAAAGAACACAACATTTGTTTGTGCTTTTTATTATGCCAACACTCCCTTGCATTTGTTTTGCTTCTATTTTTTCCCTTGATTCAGGTATTTGCAGTTTCTCACCCTTTATTCTTTTTCTTCACCACCAACTATTTCCTCTCATTCTGTATTTGTCCTGATGTCTTGCTCCAAACTTTTAGCTTGTGAAGTGTGGACTACTTGGTGCCCACCAATATGGACATAATCCTTACCCTTAGAGGGTAAACACCGACAAACAGTTGCTTTAGAGCAAACAAAACACTTTTACTGTCTTTGTTACAATTTTCTAAGAATTGTGTACATTTTGTTTCTTGACATCACATGAATTAGTATATGTAACTTTGAATGTGTATATATGATTGCAATATATGTGTATACAGTATATATATATATATATATATATATATATGACATCTATTTTGGAACAAATCTTGCCCTGCCTTGTACCTCGTTTTTGAGGTGAGCATGGATGAAATATGCGGAAGGAACAGGATATTTGCTGGAGCCTGGAACACAGCACTTTGGGCATCAAAATAGGAAAGTCATGCAAGGAATTTCGTGATTCTCAGCTTAAGCAAAAAAAAACATGGTCTCACACGCACAAAAAAAAAAATATCAGTACAAAGCAAAAATAGAAAAGTTTGAGTTGAAGCTGTTCAAACAACAGAATTTCATAGGAAAATTTGTGGCGAAAACTGCAGACCTGTCTTGTATTTCTTGAGGCAACCGCTTCATCTCTGTATTAAAGCAGACAAAAGCTTCCCCTAATCACGTTGTCTCCTGTACTGTATATGGTTCTAAACTGCTCCTGCAATCTTCAACCAAATCACTGGAAAAACTATTCGCACACACGCTGACTCACTTTCTCGGTGTATAAGCATTTTTGCGATTCAAAATCATTCCAAAGTCCAAGTTTTATTAGTTTTCAATTAGGTACCCAAATATGTTAAATTGATGCATTTGAGCAAATATTACATGTATCACGTCAATGAATATACAATCAAGAAATGTGTAAAATGCAATGATTACCAGTACTGCAAAAAATGTCTTGCATTTTGCAAGAGAGATTCTGTGTATTGTTTTCCATGTTAATCTATTATTCATAAATCAGATGTATCTACAGTTCAGAAAGGCACGTATACATTTAAAAAATGTGGTAAAAGGACGGTAAGAATGAGCTGTATGCAAATATGGCACACAATACTTTGCTACTGTGCATACTGAGGTGTTAAGGACAAAGCTACCAGGTAAGGCCATGGACAATCATGACGACAAGGGATTTGTGTAAAACACAGGTTGTACTTATTTCTCAAAGCTACTTGGCAGAAGAAAAAAAAATGGGCACAATCAAAAAGCTATGAACTGTTAACATTATTATGACTAATATTATCGACTGGCAAACAGTGCAGGGTGTACCCTGCCTCTGATCCAAAGTCATCTGGGATAAGCTCCAGCTAACCCATGACCCTACTGAGGTTAAGTTGTACATGAAATGGATAGACAGAAAAGACACGTTGCAAAGTCAGTAAGTCTTAATGAGTGCACAGTCTTTTGATAAAAACACACAAATGTTGACATACATAACGACCAAATCTTTCCATTCTTCCCAGGAAAATGTGTCAAGTTTGCAGTCTTGAGACCTAAGCCAAATGTTGCTCACAGTGCACTCTGATATTGTTCCACATTCACTTTCATTCTTTGTTCGCTTGCGGCTGAAATCACAACAGGGTCACTTTGATCCCGGCTCTGCAGGGGTGGCTCCATCGGAAGATGCTCCAGCTTTAGAGGCGTCTTCTGTTGAGGGGAAAAAAGATGATAAATAAAACCATCAATACGGATTCATTTTCCCAGAAGATGTTTTTCACAGGCACTTGAGGTTTTTGTAATTTACAACTCATCAGTAAACCTTTATCCTTCTTTTCTTGAGTCTCCTCAGCTGCTGTCTTGTCCGCTCTGAAGAAAATACGGGCGCTGCTTAAGGAGAAGTGAAGTAGCTCAAACTCCTGCAGGAGGAGAACAAATACAATGTAAATACTCCGTGCCCGCCAAAGTGGCCATTTAAGAAGCAGAAAAACTTGAGGGAAGGAGGCAAGGTTACATGAAGTCTGTACCTGAAGGTAGAGATCCAATCTTTTCTGGGTCAGGTTCATTGTTTGCAGCAACTTTTGATCCTGACTGGCAGAGTGGAGGTGCTGCTCCTTCACCACAGCATTCATCTCCTTCTTGTACTTATCTCTGACTGATTGGAACCAGTGCAGGGAGTCGAACTCCAAGTATTGGTCCAGCAGCTTCAGAATGTATGCCACACCTGAACATAAAGTGAGAAAGTGTGCGTGTGTTTAAGATTTTGTGCGATAGCATGTTGTATGTGTCGTTCCCCGTAGGTCACTTACCCATAGCAAATCCATCATCTGTAAAAGCAGCTCCGGTCTTGTTCTTCTTGTTCAGCTTCTCTTTGCAACTGATGGAGTGTTCCACAAAGTTCACAGTCTAAAGGACAAATTGATTTAGTGGTGTGAAATGGGCCAATCCACTGAGACTGTCATCACACAAATGACCTATTTATGGTGTCTCACACACACTGTTGAAGTTTGAGCTTCTACAGGGCCATTGGCGTTTACCAGTGGAAATGAATCATGTTACTGAAAATGGCTTGGTACTCACCAGTGGGGGCACAATCATGTAGAAGTTCCTCAGGTGCATGTTCTTTGCACGTCGAAACTCGGGCGCAAACACTTCCACCAGCATCTTGAAGTATTCTGTCCCCTCGGCAGAGTTGCTTGTCAAATCTCCTAATACGGAATCCAACACGCTGCATGCAACGAGCAAAGTTCATGAGGTAAAGTTCACCTTTGCATTTATTTTGATCTGTGCCCCATATTGGACACTGAAAGCGGAATCACATGAATTCACATGAAATCCAGAATGTCAGCATGGTTACCCTGCAGCTCTCTGAGTTTCCTCTGACAGTCCTTCCTCCTTTACCAGCTCCTCAAAATTGACAATATCCTCCAAGTCTGGGACAAACCTTCAACGACCCACAGACAGCACAATACAAATATACCATGACTCATATGGAGCATTGATAAATGTGCCATTTCATTTTTAATTTGACTAAACTGGTGGGAAGACAACCACACATCCAAGTCACTCTTCAAATTTAGAATGTTTGTTGTCATTGCAGTTTACCGAATGGCACTACTACAGCAGTGGAGTCCTCCTGAGCGGATCATACGCACATAACCCATGGCATTACCTGGAAGACAAATGTCAAGTCCACATTAGTTACTTAATTACGACCGAATGTAACGCATTTCAAAAACTGAAACAATCTCTATCCTAGTAATGATTTTCAGATTTAACGTCAAGCCAAACAACAGCTGTTTGTTTTTTTTTGGGGGGGGGGGGGTTATTTATGGATCAGACTTATACCAAAATGCTTTGGGAAGCATTGCAACAACGATATCTGAAACAACAAATCATCCAAGCTGGAATATCAAGAAATCCATCCATTCAAACAAACAGGAAGTACTTCTTATATCAGGGCACATTATTCGAAAAAAAAAAAAAAAAAAAAACCAAAACTAACCAATCATGAATTTCACTCTCCGCACCAAAAACATTTACATTAAAAAAAAACTAACTCAAGGAATATTATTTCCCTACAAACAATTTTGTATATGTTCTTCTGATGGCATTCCCTGAATGTTACATTCGGTTTTGGTTACTCCTTGGTTGCAACACAAATTTGTTACATTCTCTAAAAGTTGTATTGTCCGTAAAATTTTTACTGTTGCCTTACAGAAATGAATGCTTGGCTTCACCTAGGCAAGTGCCACTCTAACATCGTTTTTGCAACAAAGCCTGTTCCTTTTCTTTGTTTTTATGTCTACCATCCTCAGAAAGGACAGCTTGCCAAGATAGGGAGAGAAGCCAGCGTTGTTGATCTGACGAGTTGTCATGAATCAGTGCGTGCGTCCTGACCGCCACTGAACCCTTTAGACTGACTCACCAAACCCCCTGGGTTCGATCGAACCAAGGTTAAGAACAAGTGATTTAGACTCTTCGATTCACTGAACATGCATGTTTTCGAAATGGGGGCGAAAACCAGAGTACCGAGAGACATCGCCACACAGGAACACCGGAACTAAAATTTCAACCTCAGAAAAGTCATGCTAAAAAAAAACCCCCAAAAAAGAACAACAACAACAACACAGCACGCAAATAAGATGTATGTGTGTGTGTGTGTGTGTGTGTGTACATTTTACCAATCTGACTGATGAGCTGTCTGAACTGGTCCAGGTAACTCTGTCCATCGGGAGTGATGCCCAGTTTCCTGATGCCACGGTTAAACTTTTCCGCACGCTCAAAAGGGTACTACAATAAAGTCATCGGTGAATTTAAGAAAAATATTTCCATCCTCAGAAATGTCTGCTTTTCTTTCATTTCTTTGTCCTACCTTTTGGTCAGACTCGTCCTTTGTTTCTCTGAAGAAGCGAATGTCCTTGATGAGCCTGGATTTGATGTGTTCGTCATACATGAACTGACTGAAGATGTAAAACTTCTTGCGCAGGAACTGGTAGGTGAAGTTCACCTGAAGGAGAGAGAAATTCCTCCCGCGAGTTAGTACTCACAATGATAAAACTCAAAGCACATGGTTCCTATTCACTCACCGTGGTGTTCATAATGCCAGTGCCGTGGGTACGGATAGAGTTGGCGATGTGTCGGATATTGATGGTGTTTAAGTGCTTGTTGTTGCTTGCCTTCTCAATAAAGATCTATGAGACAATAACGGTTACTTAATAAATACTTCACAACGCGGCAGCAGGAACATTGGCAGTGCTGTTAAGAGAATACTAAACAAATAAATAAATAAATCAATACAATTCTAACCTGGTTGTTGAGGTTATATAGGTAGCGAGAGACAAAAACATGGATGTTCCTCATGATCTCCAACACATCCAAGCCCTTGTTGAAAATATCAGCGTTAGAAGAGTGTTTTTGCACTGATACAATTGATTCTAAGTTCATTATAACCTCTCATGCAAGGTTAAGAAAGGTGACATTGTTCTTGTCTCTGAGATATACACTATCACTTTGATGTGAGACAAAGGAAGATGTCTGTTTTGTGTGTAGGGGGGGCAGGTTGCCTGAGGAAAATAATGACTGCCAGTTCATGTGTGTTTATTTTTCACACCGATTGAGGAGGAATCGTTAAGACACTGCTTAGAAATAGCCATCCTGGTTGTATTTGACTGTCTCCACGTGGTGTATAAAAAAATATATGTATGCATTTGACATTGTATTTGGTTTGGTTGGTTTTATTTAATTGTGAAGTGGACAAAAATTTGACCAGCGGGTAACCTCTCAAGGAGACTATCTGGGCCCATTGAAGTGCTCCTACGCGAGAGTCTTATGTCACCTAAATATCTCTGCAGAATTACTTTCTGTATGTGGCAGCAAGTCCAGATGCACAGAGAAGAGGAAAATATTTAGTTACTGGAGACTAACGGAGCATCAGGGAAAACCGATTCACACCTCATCTGACGGATGCAGTTGAGAACACCAAGATTG